TAAGAGGGACATAATGCTGGAAAAAACAACCAAACGCTACAGAAAACAATGAATGATTCACAATAAATGAGGAATTCAAATGACTGCCCATGCTATATGATTATGCTCACACTACTTTATATATTATATATGAAGAGTTCAGATGCAAAAACCTCTTAATGTCATCTGAAATGTTCTCCTAAAATGAGCATTTTCGTCTGCCTTCTTTGTTTAAGTTTAGTTATTTCACTAGAAAGGCAATGAAAAGAAGATTTTCGTCACTATAAAAGTAAAATTACTGGGCCTACACACAGGAGTCAAAGAAAAATGTTAATTTTAGAAGAAAATATCAAATGGCTTTTAGAGGTTTGTGCATCTAAACTCTTCCTATTCTGTCCTAAGTAAATGTAAATATATTCACAACATGTTTTTTTTTATTTAATTGTAATGAATTGTGTCACAAAGCAGTGTGTAATTCCGCAGTTATGCAATTATGGGAAAGACACACTTGCCATATATGTGAATTTTGGTGTCTGCATCAAGTTAAATTGACAATTTGTGTGCACACACACAAACATACACACACAAATAATTGCAAGTGTCTACTATTTAACATCCCAAATAAATTTTGTTAATATAAAAGGGCAAAATATGGAGCAAATAATGCTCCATTGCCATTAAGTAATACAGTAGTAGGCCTGTCACAATAATCAATATACTGACTTATCACACAATACATGGACAAGACCTTAATCATTTTTGGTGATGCAATATATATCACCCATACATTAAAACCAATTCTTGCAACATTTTAGCTGATTGTGCAACATCTCTATCTCTGTTGGGGGTGTTAGTGTCAGTATGGTTAAAAACACTGTAGTATTTACTATAATGTACTTTAATATATTTATTTGGCTGTCTGACAACTGAAAATGGATCTGGCAACTGAAAATGGATCTTTCGCAGCCTGTTACTGTTTACCTTGCGTTTTTTGTTAAAATGTGTTATTATTTATTTAGGATATTTCACATTCAGATGAAAACACCTAATTATTAAAGCACTATGATTGAATTAAATATTCTTAAGAATAAAATATGATGTGTTCTTTGGAAGAGTGTACTTGCACTGTGATGGTATTATATTGTCATTCTGTCATTACTTACTGAGTGGCTGAAAATGGTCTTAAAAAGACAATAATATCGTTCATCGTGATATATTTTGGTGCAAGATATCGTACAACAAAAAACAGATATCGAAACAGGGATCAAAAATGTTTTTCAAAATTGTCCTAAAACAATAATGGGTGTTGTTCATTGGTTTTAGGACAACTTTGATGAAATTTTTTAAACTACTTCAACTGCTGACTACTGTATACAACTCAAAAAGTATAACTAACTCTGACATTTAGTTACTATATATATTAAGAAAAGGTGACCACAATAAGTTCTTCTTTTTCCAGTGACTTCTTATGACAAATATGTAAACTAGTGGTTTTAAGGACAGTGACACAGTACAAATATTTAAAATATCAATAGTTATTAGTATTTTGGGGGTGGCACCATGGTGTTTACATGTAGTAACCTATTTTAATGTCATCAAATGAGCTATTGTTCTACATACGCCTGAAAAATATATATTTACTATACAAACTTGATTTAATGGCATTTTACTGTAAATTATGCAAATAACAGTTAGGTAAGAAATATTATTATTATTATTATTATGATTATGATTATTATTATTTTGGATTCCTCTACTGCACAAGCATGTCACTTCCTGGCTTCCTGCACAAGGGGAAATCAGGAAGAGAGCGTACCTTCGGGTCTTTCTCATAGTAATACTGCTGAGTGCGGATCCAGCGGCCCACCAGGTGATCCCGCACAGTGTGCGCCAGGGCGAAGTAATAATCCCGCGGTGTCGCCACATTGCGGTCCTTCACAAGAGTGAAATGCAGATGCCTGTTGAAGCTCTTTTTGATTTCAGCAACATCCCCGAGTCCTGCTATACCACGAACACTGATCTGCTTGCGCCTTTCATGGTCGGTTAGCGGTTTAGACATGTTGTCAAAAGCAAAGGAATGAAAGTTTGGACCCTTGACTTGATGTGCACAGGTTGTTGCGAGTGTGCGCGAGGACTTTACACGCACTATTAGCTCTGAGACACACCCCTATGTCAACTAAAGAAGAAAGTGGGCGGGACGTACAGTCAGCTTGTTTCTATTGGCCAGTGACACTTTCGTTATTGCATTCCCATAGGCTGCGTGAGATGTCAATCATTCCGGTAACACTAACTAGCAACAAGTTTATGAATATACCCAGTCAGAAGATGAACCCTGGCTCAGGAGATATGTTTGTTTAGATTTACTGTATAAACAGCTTTATTTGTCACTATTATGTGACATTTTTATAAAACTCAGCTTTAGTATGAAGACCTATAAAGACTTGCCTACTTCCTTTCGTTTCATACAAACCGAGTTTTCACTAATGAATTTAGTTTGCCTCTTTTACTCATTGCTTACAGTTGTGGATTGATTTATCCATCTAATCTGTCCTTATAAGGAACGAGATTGCAGGCTACCAATAGAAAACAGCTATAAGTGGGAGGAGTCTGGTTTATGCATACAGCAATAGCACAAGTTACAATAATCTACTCATTTAAGTCTATCTGCTCTGAAATTATGACCTTTTAGATCATTTAATTGTAAAACAGCAAATGATATTTTTCAAGGTCAACAGACAAAGTAATAGTAAATATAGTAATAGTAAATATAAGAATGTAACAATTCTATTAGACTGCTTAAAACAGATTGCCCAAACTAGGGCTCATGATGGCCCACAGTAACCTTTGATTTGGCCCACCACCCCATATGAGAGGAGAGGAAGAATGATGGGAATGGTTTAGATATCGTATGTGACCTTTAGTTAGTTTGTAATATTGTTGAGCTACATTAAATGTTTACATTTAAATGATGTAAATTAATCAGATTGGTAAATGAGATGGATAAAAGACAATGCAGAGACTTAGGTGAGTGATTCAAGGCAGAGGCAGACTGTTATAAATATGATTGCTTGTATTGCAATAAGTTATAACAAAAAAAGCTAAACTGCTTTAGTTAAAACGATTCAAAGTAATGTTTTCTATTTATCAATATTATTAAAATAATTAGGAAATGAACCATGTCAACTTCCATGTAAAATAGTTAGAGAGGTATATTTGTCTTTGGCCCAAGGCTATCAATGATTTTTGGTTTTTGGCCCTTCATACGAAAAAGTTTGGGCACCCGTGGAAATAAAGCTTATAGTGATTAAGTGTTTACCATCGTGCGACGTGCAATCCGTGTAACAAGCTGTTATCTTAAAGTAACAAATCATTATTGCTAACTGAGCTCTTAAGACACAGTGGGCTTCCACTACCATGCTTAGAAACCCATCACTTGACTGTAATTCTCTCAAAATCAGGGTATCATCTTCTGTCCATTCCATATCCATTTTCAAAAAAAAAAAAAAAAGAAAGGAAAACTAAGAAAACTTTTTCTATTTTTCATTTGGTCAAAAAATACAGGGATTTTGGCTCGATTTTAGTTTTTTAATTGAGGGTAGGAAAACACATGTAGGCAGTGCTGTAACGCCCTCTTTTCTTTGGTTGGCTAACCAAATCTGAGCTCGTGACGTAGTCCTCAAAATAAAAGTCCTCTGTCCTATTATTTAGTTTTATTAATTTTACATATTCTATCATTTGATCAGTTAGCAGGCTTACATTCATGCATATGCATAATGTAAAAAAATAAAAACCAGAATAAGAACACATTAGGCCTCAGGGCTATAAGAAAGGGTAACATTTGTTTTTATTTTTTTTCCTCCTATTTTAATTGTGTGTGGGGGTATATTTATCTCTCTCACACACACAGACACACACAGACACACACAGACACACACACACAATAGGAGGAAATAAATTATATATATATATATATATATATATATATATATATATATATATATATATATATATATATATATATATATATATATATATATATATATACGACTATTATTTTAAGGGCAACGTCGCAAACTCAGATTTGGTTGGTCAATCAGAGGAAAAGGGGCGTTTCAGCACCGCTCACGTGTATAAATCATTTATCCATTTTGCTACCTTAAACTAAAACCGAGTCAAAATCTGTTTTTTTTTTTGTTTTGTTTTTTAGTGAGCAAAAGAAAAAACGAAAAACATTTGTTTTCTTGGTTTTCCTTTTTTGTTCGAAAACGGATATGGAATGGACGGAAGACACCCTGATTTCCCAGAGATAGACCAGTCAATATACATTTATATAAAAATTTGTTTATATTTGTATATTTTTACAACAAAATCATATTTTGTAAATGCTATACAGAACAGGAAATGAAAAGTATTTCTAAAGACCTCAAAACCACATCCTTTGCATTTTCTAAAGACCTCAAAACCACATCCTTTGATAAACATTCAGTAATATATTGAGACATTTGATCTGCTAAACCCCCTGTAGGTCTTAATTTTGTGACCTCTGCTGTTGCAAGGAAAAAAAAACTGCATGAACGTACAATAGAAGAACACGACAGAAACGAACACAAAGTAAACCACATCCTGCTGTTTCACTTTATGACCTTCTGAACTTTACATGTAATGAAAATGTCTCAGTACTTCAGTTTTTAACAGTCTCAGAATACATTTATATGGCACTTTTTATAAACATATTTAATAATACTAAAGAAAAACAGCAGGTTTATAACCGACCATGAGTAAAAAGATCATAGCAGTTACAGCTGTTCTTACTAACATAAAAATGTTTTTGTTTTGCTCTGAGAGTAGATAATAAGTATGTGCTTTGATCAAACATTTATAATACAATAAACAGAACTAAAACTACAGAATAATTAAATATAACATAAAAACAAAAATTGAGCACAAGGCAATAAAGTGTTTCTTGATCAGGTAAACCGTGACGAATATGATTCTGACATGCTACAAATGCCCAAAACCAGTTCACACGTATAGATCTTAATGTCCTAGTAAGAAAAGTAAAACATTCAGAAAGTCAGAGGTATGTAGAAAAACTCACATTTTGACAAAATGGCAAATGACAAATACAATCAATGTTGGCGTTTTTTTTTTCCAGTCAGTGTTCCACTGGGTTGAAGAGTTTTTTAGCACGTCCCATGTTTACGGAACGACTCTATGCAATGGAAAGCGGCACCGAGGGCCCAGCTGGTCTCCGCGTTATTAATTTGTCTTGCCAGCTGAAATTTAAACAGAAAAAAACAGTATCAACCATGAATCTTGTCAAGATCAAGCAGAGCAGTTGTGGCCTGATGGTTAAGGAGTTGAACTTTGCAGGTTGCAGGTTCAATTCCCGGCCCCCAATTGGATGTGTCTGTGTGCTTTCACTCCTCTCAAAATGTGTGTGCGCACATAGATGGGTTAAAAGGACCAAATTAGAGTTTGACCAAAACCATTCTTGACCATGCTCACATCACTTCACTCATAATGCTATTAACTACCTTATGCATGTGTTGAAATCTGCGTCCAAAAGTCAACACAAAGCAACTATTACACAGGGCTATTAAATCAAGAATCATAAATCAAGAATAGCACACCTTCAGCTCTTTGTCAGGCGGGAAGTCCAGCTCCTGAAGAAGCACAGAGATGTAGGTCAGATCCAAACACAGGAATGGAGACTCCTTTATCCCGCCGGCTGACATGTTATTGCACACTGAAGAATAAACAAGAGAATGAACAACGTTTTTGCAGAGCAAAGGTAAAATGTGGGATTTATTGAAAAATGCATTCTAGTAATAATAACATCACGTCATCTTATTCCTGGAACAATACTAGTGTTTAAAGAGGTGGTCCAGAATGTATTTTTAAGGCTTGGTTTGTGTTTATAAGATGCAAAGCTATGTGTGCTCATGCTTCACTTGTTAAAAAAAAAAAAAAAATTCACATTATTTTTTCATATATCTTACTTTGATTATATACAGCTACTCAGCTAACATGAAAACAACTGCCATAGTTCCGTCAAGACGCTCTGATTGGTCAACTAAGATAATGTGCTGTGATTCGCAGATTGGCTACGTGTCACAGGGAAAAGCGCCACACCTCTAATAGCATGCGTTCTTCCTCTGCTGTGCAAATACTGTCAGTCAGCGTAGCTGTTAGCCACATAAGTTTGAGCCTGAATTAGACATAACATAAAGAGCACACAGCTGAATCTCATGCCTGCTCTCTAAAATACAAACTGACAAGTGTCTTTCACATATATTTGGTATAAGCATGTCTAAGTATTATGAAACATCACATATCTTTAGCGAGTTTGTTATTTGAGATGTAGAATGCACGGAAAGTGTCCGCATAGAGACATTGGTGTAGATTGTAGGTGTTTACAGTGGATTGACTGGTAAATATGCATTTGTAGCTAAATTGTTGAAGGTGCCAAACAGAATTTCCCGTTGTTTACATCCTTGTTTACATCCTCGCTACAAAATACAACACTAGACACTGTGCATGTAGTTGATCAATTTTAACAAATAAAATCACTTAGAGGTTGTGGCTCACAGTCCACAGATTCTGCTTTTATGGTTGTAGCTGCTCCTTCCTTGAGGAGTTTATAGCCGAATCCAGCATTGAACCGAGATTCTGGAAGCTACCCTGTCAAATACTAGCTATATATTATTTATAATTCTCTGGAACATAGTTAAAATTAAATTGTAACCACTTCTCTCTTTGTGCCGTGTCTTTTGAAAACCCAAATACAGAAACAGAACAAGCTCTGTGAAAATAGCAGATTTTTGAACTGCATTTTAGCTTTCTCTGCTACATTACAGCGCCTCTGGCCACGTCCCTTCACCTTGTGGGGTGAATGCACATAACCAGAAGCCCTTGTGATCTCACTAACCCAGATGTATTTTTTTGCAGTCCCCATTCTTCATTCGCTGTAGTCTTTGCTAAGCTAACTCTGTAAAAGCCAACGTGCCCCTTTGCATTGAACTTTGAGCGTCTTACATTTAGAGATGTTGTTTATATTCAAACAGCTGCATTACACATCAACTAAAGTTTAACATGTGATATCCTAGTGGACCACCCCTTTAAAAGAGAAATTAAACAGTTAATTCCTGTATATTCAACACTATAAAGTCAGCTTTGCAGTTATAGAAATAAATTACATTTCAGCATCTTTATTAAACAATTCAGAAATAAAAAGTCAAAATTCTCAGTTTATTAAAATTCAAAATTTTTAGATGAAAAACGAAATTGACACACTTTAGTTGGAATTATGACTTAAAGACTTACATGCTTATTGTATCAGACAGGATAAAAAAACATAATATTAAATAAGTTATGAATCATGTTCTTGCCTCATTGCATGCCACACGCATGGAATAACTAATAGCAAAACTATATTACAAAACTACTGTAATTTAGACAAGTAAAACATTTGGCTTAATCTAGCAATTATGACTTTAAAAGCCTTTTTTTGACACAGTAAGTCATAATTTTATGTTAGATAGTTTTAATTTGGACTTCTCCGCTTGATTTTTCCCCCTCAACATAGTGGAAATAGGTTTGAAAATATTAAATTACCAAAACACACACCTTTTTTTGCACCTTCAATGTAATCACTGACTCTGACAGTCCCTCCTGTGCGTTCATCTGAGTCGGAAACACAGAAAGTGTTTGTCAATTCAGGAAATAAAAGAAAAGTTCATCTATTAAATCAAATCAAATGACAGACAAATCTCTTACCAATGAGGCCCAGATCCACAGCCCTGTCGTAGTAGTAGGAGAACGCATAGAAGTCCATGTTTTTCACTTCCTCTGCTTTTCTCACCTGCTTGTAGATCATCTTCTCCACTTTTCTAAGGCAAGACTCATAAATAGGCTCCCCTGGAACAGAGCACAAGCACACACGCGCACACACACACGCGCACACACACACACACACACACACACACACACACACACACACACACACACACACACATTTTTTAACATAAGTTATTTAATAAAACAGCCAGAACTGTGCATAAAATTTCCAACTACTCATTTATAAATTAACCTATATTGTAATCAGTTATTTACATGATATAGGTAGATGGGAATACACTGTAATTGGCAGATAATATTACATGGTAGAGTTTATTATTAATTATTTATTGCTATTAATTTAATCGATTAATTTCTTTTTTAGCCTTTTATTGTTTTCTTGACTGTCAAAATGAATGACAGCCTTCTTGAATGTTCTGCTGGAAAAAAAAAACTGATTTTATGGTAAGCCTGACTTTAAATGAACTCAAATATTCATTGTTGGGTGAAGCATCCAAGGTCAACTGGTGGTCAATTTATGTATAAAAATGAACTCGTCTTTCACAGTTTTAACTGTCTGTATTTAAGTATGCATATGCATAGCAGTCAATAATTGGTTCTTTATTCCAAAGGTTAAAGGACTAGTTCACCCTAAACATCAGTTACTTATAATTCATGTCTGATTGAGTTTCTTTTTTCTGTTGAACACAAGGACAGTGCTTCGCACGCATAGACTTTACTTAAGGAGGCCGCCCAGGTTTATTAACAATCGCCCAAGTATATCTGATCACAGTTTTTTTACCAATATTATCATCCTTTTACACTTCTTTTTATATCCGCCAGAGATAACCAAATATCCACGTTCGATTGACCAGTGGAAAATCTTGTGTGTGCGCAAGAACGGTCAACAAAACTTTCTCAGGCAATCTCACATGCTCTGCAGAGACCCACAGAGATGCGGCTTTTTGAGGCTTAAAAATGCGTCTGGCTGTTTTTTCTAAATCTCGAATGTCCAGGAGTCGACTTTTGTTTTCGATTTCTAAAGTTGTTGCGTTTTTGCATTGCTCTTTTATTAAAGACTACTTTCCGCTTGCTTCACAGCTGTCAGCGTGCACAGCCGCGAGACTAGGAGAAAAAACTAAAAATAGATTCTTTAATCTAAACGATTCAGAAAAACTTAACTCTATACTCGAAAAGGATGAAATGGAGGATATCTAAACTGGCTGCAAAATAAATGTACACCATTAGAAATTGTTAAATCAACTCCTTTGCCTTATTTATCTAATCTACATCTTTTATTCTTTTTATTAATTAAATAATATTAAATATCCAATTTAAAGATTGTCTATTTTTTTTCCTGTAATTTATTTCTCATTTGAAAGAGAGAGTAGCTGTGTGTACAGAGCTCCTAAAAATCTTATTTCAACAGCCTTTTTTAAACTTTAACCTATTGAAAAAAAGCAGCGTCAAAATAAATAAATGTATTGTTAAAAATCACATTAGTTTTTGTATCACATGTAGTTAACCATTTATGTGCCATGGGTAAAGTATGTGTTTCAGTCAGGCTACCACCACAAGTATATTTCAAACTTGTGGTAAGCAGGTATATTTTGAATAATTTTGGAAACCGACTTCCATGTTTTGTTTTTTTGCTATGGATGATGGCAATTGCAACCTATTTCCAACTTTCTTGAAAATATATCTTCCTGTGGTCAACAGAAAATACATTTCATAAAAAACTGAAGACACTTGATGGTGAGTAAATTTTCAATTTTGAGTTAACTATTAGCTTAACCATTGCAATGAAGATGCAATCACAGGCTTGAATCCAAACTTTTTTTGTTGTTGTTGTATGCAAAGAGTACATTTCATACCTGGTTTCTGGCCTTTAACCGTATAAAGTACTTCAGCGTGTTCCCACTGGCCTGAATAATCTGGGGCTAAACATGGACTGACCAGCTCTTGGGGTCCCGCTACTGAAACAACAATAAAAAAAAACCTTAAGCCAAATATTTTTAAAAATGCATATTAGAGCATTTTACTGCCACTAAGTGGAGCAACTGTGTCATTGTGGAGGACAAATACAAACATGCGCTCTGCTCTGCCACCTGCTGGACACAAATAACAGCACATTTACGCGAAACACATGCGTGTCTTTTCTTATAATAACCTTAAAACCCACTCAGAGAGAAGCGGGATACACTTATACAACGGGCCAAACTATAAACAATGAAATCTGATTACATTTGTAGTGTACTAAATGCAAATCTCAGTGAACTGCATGCAGAAGCCACTGCACTGATGGCAGTTTCTCTCTTTGGCCTCAGATAAATCGGCACAACAGCTGGCCACCAAGAAACTAATCTTCAGTGCGTTATTAAGAGATTAGATAATGGCTTATTTATTGAACGAATGAGGTCTTTAAAAGCCAAAGATGAAGAGAGATTGTAAAACACATACAAGGCTGGCCTTCAATCCCTCCCAACACTGCAAGCCTGGCCGACATCAACCCCAGGCCAAGGTAACTGCGGAGAGACAGAAAGTGAGAGAGACATTTAAAAGATGAGCAATAAAGATACAAATATATATATATATAAAAAGGTGAATAATTTAATAAAATAATATTATTCAATTTATATTTTAATGCAAATCTGTTTAAAATGTATTAAATATTAAAAAAACTGAACATTTAAGATATCCATTTGAAATAAATGCTGTCCTTTTTTCACTTTCACTTATATAAATATAAAGAAATAGTGTAATATTTTCACAAAATAACCTAAAGGTTTTACGGAATGAAACCAGCATATTAGGATTATTTCTGAGAGTAAAATGTGAACTGTATTAACTGCTGAATACGCCGCTTTGTTTCACAGGAATTAAAAAAAAGGAATAAAATTTATTTAATTATAATTTATTTTAATTTTGTTCAAATTTATATACAGTTGGAGTCTGAATTATTAGCCCCACTGTTTGCTTTTTTCACCAATTTATGTTTAACGGAGAGATTTTTTAACACATTTCTAAATGTAATAGCTATAATACCTCATTTCTTATAACTGATTTATTTCATCTCTGCCATGATGACAGTAAATAATATTTTACTAGATATTTATCAATACACTTTTATACAGCTTAAAGTGATATTTTAACTAGGTTAATTAGGTTAACTAGACAAGATAGGTTAATTAGGTAAGTTGTTGTATAATGATGATTTGTTCAGTGGACTATCAAAAAAAATAATAATTAGCTTAAAGGGGCTAATAATTTTGTCCTTAAAATGGTTATTAAAATTTTTTAAACTGCTTTTATTCTAGCCAAATAACAAATAATATTTTCTCCAGAAGAAAAAATTGTCCCACTTTATATTAAGTGTCCTCAACTACTATGTACTTACATCAAAAAATAAATACAATGTACTTCCTGTGTTCATAAAGTATTTGAGAGCACTTGTGGTGCTCTTGAGTTGGCATAGGGGTTGGGTTAGGGACAGGTTTGGTGGTGTGGGTAGGTTTAAGGGTGGGTTAAGGTGTAGGGAATGGTCAGCAGTGTATTTACAAATGTAATTACAGAAGTTAATTACAGATGTAATTACATACAGGTATTTAATTAAACATAAGTACACAATAAATACACGTATTTACACAATAAGTACATTGTAACAAACTATTTATTCCTGTTTAAGCGCATATTAGTTAAGGCCACTTAATATAAAGTAGGACCGAAAAAATATTATCAGACATACAGTACTGTGAAAATGTCCTTGCTCTGTTAAACATCATTTGGGAAATGTTTAAAAAAGAAAAAAGAACGTATTAAAAGTACATTTTTGCAACATTTTTGTCCTGGAGGTCTTAAATGAAACTACTTTTTGTACCTGGCATTAAATATATTTTAGAAAGGCAATGAGGGTGAAATATTAAAACAAAAAAAAGCACATCTTTTTATGCTGTTTCATTAATAGCCAAAATGATCACAAAAATAAAAATGTCTATAAGCATGCACAGGAGTTAACAGAAATTTAAAATAAGAAATACTTCAGTATTTTGTCCGAGAGTGTGAGAGAGAGATAAGATTTGCACACTTCTGGAACATCTGTGATGCATCTTAAGTGATTCCTCATTCAACACTACAGTATCTTGACCCTGCTGGGGGGTTTGTTGTGTCAAATCTCCTGCCATGAATAACTAGTAATTCTAGTAATCTGGAGATGAGTCCCTCGATGGGATTGTAATTGGAGGCTTGTGTGATTAAGCTCTAATCAGTAGAGAGAGGCGAACACACACTGTCACATTTGTGTGCGCTGTACTATTCGTGAACTCACATAAACTAGAAAGCCACGACCAGGCAGCGGTGGTGTCAAACAGAGGTCTACAAGTCACATAACGTTACCGATGGGCTGCTGAGGACACTGAAGCTTTTAAATAGTATTATGGTGACACTGTGGAGCATTCCTACATGGGATGTAATCAAGACTTGCACTAAGGATGCAAAATATCGAATTGCATTGGAATTTTGTTTACAATGACCTTAGAAGTCAATGCAAGTTGAGAAAAGACAAAAAAATCCTGGATGAGATTCTTTTTATATTTATAAACTATGACATTAATATTGAAGAGATATTAGCACGAGTGTATATCGGTATTCACCACAGTATCAGTATTCAAGCATGATCGGCAAATTCAATATTGTTTTTTATGCAAAAACACACATGCCTCTCAAATTTGTGCGATTTCAGCCATAATTTATGCAGAGTTCAGACTGCATGATTTTAACCCTGATTTTGACTCGCCGACAGGTTTTCAGAAATTGCCAACAAGTGCCTGAAATCACAGGCAAATCTGTGCTCGTGCACAAGAGTGACAATCACACAGTGTGAACTATCAAAGAAGCGATCTGAGATAATTGCTCATGAGTCGCCGATGCCCGTGAAATATTTGGCGTGCTAAATATCGAAAGCTGTCGACGATTCAATCATGCCGAGTGAAACGAGTTGACTGAAAATAACCTCGGCAATCACCTACAGCCAATTAGAGAGCAGCATTCACTAGTGTGTGTGTGTGTGTGTGTGTGTGTGTGTGTGTGTGTGTGTGTGTGTGTGTACCTGCAGGCCAGCTCGAGATTGGGGAAAAAGTTAAAAGCGCTTATTTTCAGTTTATTTGGACCCAAGAAATGGAAAAAATAGCAGAAATTGACAGGAGCACCCATGTCTGTTTGACATGTCAAAACAGGGTCGAAAAAGAAAAAAAGTCAAGGAAAAATTGCTAATTCCCTTTAAACCCAGGTGAGCAAACATTGATATATTTTTTACTCAATTAAAGGCTTCTTTCTCATTATGTAGTTAATAACAAAAGATATACTATGTGTTTTTGGTTGTGAAACGTAGTTTGGACAGAGCGATTCATGCAGTGTGAAACCCCCTGTTGTCGATCCATCTTGCAGTGTAAACAAAGCAGCGACAAAACGCTAGCCTAGATAGTCATGCAGTATGAAAACACATCTGTGACAAGACTAAATTGTGTAGTCTGAACTCTGCATTAGTCATCAGATGCAAATTTGGGAAGTCCTAAAAGATTCCTGAAATCCTAGGCTACAATCTGTGATCTTTGATTGTTGGTTTGACAAGTTCAAAGACAGCATCTTAATGGCCGTTGCAATCAGATTTTCCCTCTGATGAAGTTCTGGCAGTGTCAGAAGTTTTCAGACATCAGCTGTGAGGAACATCAATCCAATAACCAATAGGAGTGCTGAATTTGAACAAATTATTTTTTTCCTGGTTTTATTATTGAGGCACACTGTGAGCAAAACTACCACTACAGATTGTTTACATTTGCTGTGAGGTTTCATTTCAGAATAACGGATAGTGAAAGCGTCGATGGAGCGTCATACTCCAAGTGAGTTTTCTTTTGTGTTTGACACATATTTTTTGTTTATCAATCAGACATTATGACAGCCGAGATCTTACAGCTTGACATGTTCATGCATTTTGAAAAAAACTACAATTATTTAGGATTATTTAAAAATAGTAATAATAATCACAATGCGAGTCAGGCTTTAGAAAAAACACTTGATTGTTTTGTTTCTAAATTAATCTACTTTTGTGTGAATCATTTGAATCAAATATTCAACAATCAGTTCAATAAGCCTTTCTGAATGAAAGTCACGTCTCGCTTTCAGTTTGGGGTTTAGGTGGATTTTGCACTCACACACAAGCGTACCGTTCCTGATGATTTACTCACCCTCTTGTCATCCAAGATATGAATGCCTTACATTCTTCAGTCAAAAATAAATAAAGGTTTTTAAAGGAACTATTCCAGGTTTGTTCTCGATATATTGGACTGCTACAGTTAACTTTGACTTGAACTTTGAAAATTGCAGTTTCAGTGCTGCTTGTAAATGATCCCAGCTTAAAAACAAGGGTCTGACCTAGAAGCGATCAATTATTATTTTTTTTTTATGTATAAAAAATGTTTCTTTTTAAACAACAAAAGGTTGCAACACTATGCTAGTGTCAGATGGGGAAGAGTTTTTGTAATTAAGAAGTACATCTTTTTTTCTCTAGGAAATAAATATTCATTCTGGAAGTGAAATAACACTTTAAATGCTCAAGCTCTGGCTCTTTTTCCATTTATTTTTTCAAACAGAATATTTTTTCATTTTATTGATATCAGTCAGAATGACATTTTTCAACAGTTATGCCTTCATAAGACATGTGGAAAAAAATAGCAGTAAAATAATACTAATGTTTTTTGTATATTTGTATATCTACACCATCAAACATCATAACATTGTTTTATTCATATCATTCACTACACATCCTGATGCCATTCTATGCCCGATCCACTTTACCTGTGTGAGTAGAGAGCGTGACTGATGTTGAACATCTGAAACGATGTCACATAATCAATGGGTGAGGTCTGAATGGTTATCTGTAAAGAAACAAAACACAAGGAAATATTGATGCATCAGGGTTGCATTCTTCTCTTTTTAAACAAGAATCTGGTCAAATTTACTAATGTATTAGTTGAACAACTCTCATCACTTCCTACATAAGCAGATTTCCTGGCCAGAATATTATTTAATATTATTTAATACAAATAATAGTCAGCGATTTCCTACTTTAACAGTTTTAAGTCCAGACTTAAGACAATATCTGCCAGTAACTAAAAGTAAGCTGCAATCTACAGAGCAGTTCTTCCCTGAGCTACTGTTTGAATACAAAGCTCTCGGAGAAACTGTGTAATAACATGATAAATTGGTCTCCAATCCTGCCTGTACAGGACCTGACCTAGTTGAAAAGCAAGAATCTCTCTGACTCTCTCAGCCCAATGTACTACAACCTTCATTTATCAGGCCTATCGGATTAGCAAGACATTTGCAGATTAACATATAGGATGGAGAGCATAACAGTGGTTTGGTAGGAAAGACTTGAGTTCATTAAGAAGAGGTAACAGCTATATTGTGTGTATGCATGGCTCACTTCATCCTGTAGAGCAAAGGTGATCTGGGTCGAGCCTCCTCCTAAATCCAGCATACCTACTGTAGGAGTCTCTGTACCGTGAAGAGCACCTGTGTGTGAGAGAGAGATGTTTTAAAGCACTTTTTTTTTGTCAAGAAAGCAAAAGAAAAGGTTTCCATGTGGGTAAGGTAGTGCATCTTTTGTGCTGTATAATGATAGATTTAAAATATGCTTACCTATTAAAAAGTTGATGGTAATCCAAGCTGACATTCCTGTGCAAATAAAAATGTGCATTAATTGTCAGTTAAATAATCCTGAATACTACACTAACAGATTTTAATGCAATGCTATTTTGCCAAGTTGAAGTCAGGGTGGATGTTTGATTGTGGTTTATATTTGCCGCTATGCTTTAAAAATCCACCCAACCAAAATTAGTGCTAAGCAAAAATTATTTGTGATTTAATCGCATCCAAAATAAAAGTTTATTTTGACATAATTTAAGTGTGTGTACTTTATATATAATTATATATATATTTTATATATAAATACACACAGGCATGCAAATATATATATATATATATATATATATATATATATATATATATATATATATATATATATATATATATATATATATATATATATATATATATATATATATATTAGAGCTGTGAACCTACACTAGTCTCAAGGTTCGGTTCAGTTGCGATTATCATGCCATTGATTTGGTTCAATTCGATATCTCGGTGCATTACGGTGCATTGACGATGCTTTCCATACACAGTTTTATATTTTCTTCCCAAATGTATGAATATATTTATATTTATGTATAATTTGTAATACAATTTTGTCGTTTAATACAAACAGTCAGATATATAAACTGTAATTTTAAACAAATCGAGCATTAAGCAAATAATATAAAAAAAAATTAAACATCCAGCTAAATTTCTGATCCTTGTCTAGTTCTCTTACCTCTTTGATTTAACTTTAAACAAAACGAGCATCAAGCAAATAATATAAAAAATATAAACATCCAGCTCAATTTCTGATCCTTGTCTAGTTCTCTTACACCTCTTTGATTGGTCACACCCTCAACAAAAAGGGTTGCGATTGGCTCTTGCGCGCTGCGCTCTTCAGATAAGTGACACTGATAAGCGTCAGGCGGCAGCGGCGATCTCACAACTGATGCATGATAGACACGGTAAAGAAAACTCTGCAGACACGCGCTCATTCCTGTATGCAAAAGTAACCCTGTAAAACAGCCGAGAGGAGAAGAAAAGCCACCGCCGCAGGTCAAATGGGCCACTGTGTGTGTGTGTGTGAGAAATAGAAAGAGACAGAGCGAAAGCAAGAGCGAGAGAGAGAGAAAGAGAGAAATGGAGTAGGGCTACTTTCATTCTCGCGATCTCAGTGAAATAGGGGCTATTGTTGTATATGTCAGTGAAAGACTGATCCAGCAAACACACACAGTGAAATTGTGCACAGTTTAAGAGTTTTAAGTAGTTAAAGCGTTGTAAATGCTCGCGATCGCCTCCCTCGCGACAGAGTGCATATGAGGTAAATGACATCAGTAATAACCGGTTATGATTATTACTGAACCGATACCGAATTGTCCGCGTCTGCATCGCGATGCAACGAAGAAACGGTTAATTTTGACACCCCTAATATATATATATATATATATATATATATATATATATATATATATATATATATATATATATATATATATATATATATATATCGTTCTTGGGTGGCTCACCAAAGTAGTAGATGACTCCAATATATAAAATTAGTAAGTTGACCAAAGTTCTTACAAAGAGAAGACTTTCTCGAAGAAAATGCGTAATAGTTCCTTGGCATCGATGTTAACTTGTTGGTCTTAAAGTAACTTAACCCAGAGTACTGTATAAAGACACAACTTTATAACAAGGATATGGTGATATGGACTAGTTTGGTTGGGTAAAAACTCGTGTTCCTGAAGACCATTTGGTTCACACGTTTTCAAGTCATCCAATCATACTATATATATTTGTATAACAGTTCTTTCTGGTTCCTGGGTTTGATTGGCTGATAGTCGTGTGATTTTCTGCAGTATCAGAACTCTGATATTTACCTGGTATCTGATATTGACCCTTGTTTATTACTCTACCCACATAGAGTGACAGCAGATCAATAAACTCACTACATTTTGACAAATATTGCAGCTGTTGGACAACAATGTACATTTGAGGCTTTTTTAGCTGAGAATGTAGTTGTTTAGATAGCAACTATGGGGTTTATTTATAAAGATAGTGCCTATTTGAAATATTTATAATTTCGGAGATTCAGTGCGTCAGCAGCAAGCCTATGATATTGAGCAGAGCAAAGACAGTTGACGTTCTGCCAGAAGATGCCGACAGAAACCACATAATAAGGCTTAAGGGGAGAAACAACATTTTCTCAGCTTAAGTTGCAAACTACAGCTGAACATATCATTATAAATCAGATGAGTGACAATCTAAGTCAATCTCTCTCTTTTCTATGTTGTAGCTCTGAATTTATACCATAATTATCTGGTATTGTTTGCTTTGCTTTGGCTTTTTCGTGGTTAATTATTGTGAAATCCTGTTTGCAACAAAGAAATACTGGGAAATCTCTGTAGACTGATAGCATTTCATGCTGTTCAGCCTTATAATCTTAAAATGTGAGCAAAATCACCTGTTTTGTCATCATTATAGACATTAAGCTAGAGAATCATTCTAATACTAGCTCTAAAGTGACATTGGTGAATTAGCAGCGGTTCCTGCTGTTCTGACGTCAGCTGCAGATGTGAATGAATGGTGGAAGAAAGTAGTTCCCCATACAAAAGGATTTCGAGATTTTCAATTTTATATACACCATTATGCAGTCAAACTGTTATATAAACACAATGTCACACTTGTAGCAATGAGATAAGGCTGTATATCTTCACTGGTGGGACATTTAGGCACTTTCTCTGATATACAAATAAACAGCCGTATCACACTACTACTGGACACATTTTTGTATTTTATGCTAAGAACATCCAATCATTAATAATTCAACCTTTCTTTCTTATACTATTTTAAATGATTTTGTTTGAGTTATCACCTACAATAGATTTACAAATCTACTTCAAAAACACTTTAACTTTCTCAGCTCAACATTTCGCATCAGTTTAAAAACAAATTCACTTTCTCAACTCAACATTTCTTATCATCATTATTGAAAACGGTTGTCCTGCATGTTTGATACAGCGCCCTTCAGTACATTTAGAGATTTCAGCATTAATGCAAAAATCAAGCTCCAGGCAGATCAAAGAGTATGCAAGTGAGTGCGTCATTGGATCTTTGAGCATAAACTGCATGTTTGTTTTGAATGTAGGTTGCATCTTAACAAACTAAGGGGCTTTAGCTTGTACATAAAACCAAAAACTCACTTAGTGTCTATAAACTCCATCCCTGCATTTCCCTCACATATACAGTACCACTTAGGCACAGCATTAACAATAAGTCTGTATGATTTCCTGTGATGGACTAATCTGGGTAAGCTTGTGCATCCAGGAGAGTTTAGACTCGCGCTGATAATGAGACTGAGATTATCCGGTTACGGGACCAATAGAGTTTAAGCAATAATTTACATTAAATCTCACAAATTGCTAACCATTAAGCAAAGCCAACTTGTGTCTCGACAACAGAAAAGTAATAACACCTTGGCTTTTCCGTTTGTTCGTTATAGTTTTTCTATCTTTAAAAAGGAATTTACTGCCTAGCAAATTAATGGCCGCTAATCTGTTTGCTGAGATTATAGTGCACACAGGGCATTATCCCCTGGGCTCATTATTACTTGTGTGAACTATTTTAAAGGATTGGATTAAAGTCCCATATACGCATTATCTATCGTTAATATACGCACAGCTCGAGCTATTACTGAAGAAAATTTCAATTTACAACTTATATCTTTCTGGGTGCAAAAGCTTGACCGTGGTGACCAGAGGCTTTTGATGTACAGTAACATCTGCTGGTTTCAAAGTCATGACGAACAGACTTCTGCATGGAACAAAACGCAGCAAAACACTGAAACATTACAATCTATTGAGAAGTGCCGTCCTCCATTTTAATTTTAAAGCACTTCTGTATAGTTTAGTGCATAATGTTGCTGTTTGATATAACAAAGTTACAAACTCCTCGGTAGAGGGAGTTATTTTCTACATATGTAAGCCGGAATTGAAATAATTGTGTTAGTAATGTGCTGTCGAATGTGCATGATGGGTCTTGAATACTAATACACATGATTTTATGTGCCTGTATGTAATGTAATGTAATGTATTTTTTATTTAATGCCAGCATGGTAGCAACCAAGGCAACTTTCATGGCAAACACATTTCAATAATAAATCTACAATTAAAAATAAATGAATACACAAATTAAATAAGATTTTTAGCGCTAATAAATGATAAAAATTCTACAACTTTTCCTGGGGTCACATTGCTATTAATGTCCTTAAGAGAGTTCATTTCATAAAAAAGCCTTCTGCAATCATTAAAAGCAAAAGAGAGGAATTGTTCAGTACAAACATTGAGCGGGGTCTTCACCTTTGAGCAAAACACCATGGGTAGGTCTTATACATTTTAGGTTGTATTTCATTTAGTTATTGTTTTTCAGTGCATCACACTCCTCTTGCCACTTAATTCAAATGTACATATTGATAAAAGTTCTCATCTCTGAAGGAGGAATTTGTTATTTGTTCTATTTGCCAGTGTGATATAAATATAAATATAAACTACTAGACGTTATAAAACCTCATTAAACAAATTGATCATAAAAAATCATAAAAAATGATCAATGATCCAAAAATTTACCTGTATGATATTGGATTGTAATGTATGGATGGAATTCATTTAGCACAACACTTACAGTGCATTATGAGTATTCTCTAGGCAGCATAAATGATGCATTATATGACAGAATAAGTGTACTCGTTTAATGTCTACTATGATATCAGCACCACTATAAATGTCTAACGTAATGGCTAAAAAGTGACAATAGAATACATTATGCATTCATTTATTCATTCATTTATTTTCCTTTGGATTATTCTCTTATTTATCAGGGGTCAACACAGCAGAATGAACCAGCTATTCTGGCAAATGTTTAAAACAGCAGATGTCCTTCCAGCTGCAACTCGGTACTGGGAAACACATTATTAAAAATGACAAAATTAAAGGAACAGTAAGTTCACCCACATATAAAACATTTGTTAAACCTGTTGGACATTCTTTCCACTTTTGATTACAAAAGTAGACACTGTATTTTGTAAAATGTTGGAAACTGGTAGTCACTGATGCCCTGAATATAGATTTTTGAATACTCTGGATGTCAATAGCTACTATTTACTAACATTCTTTAAAATATCTATATCTTATATCTTTTGTTTTTAACAGATTTCCTTTTATCATGATTCTAAAGCACTTGAGGGTGAGTAAATAATATGTAAAGTGTTTCATTCTTTATCTTTTCAACATTTTTGTATGTATTTTAAGTTGTGAAAACACTTAATACGATATTATGTATATACAGTAGGACAAAGGAGAAACTGACACAGTACCTTCATCTGTGCCATCCATGATTGACACGCTGTCTGGTTTATAGAGGAACAAAGATTCGCTAAACACCTCCCTCACCTGCAGCAGGAAGATTTCGAAATAAGCATGGCATGACATGTTGAAGACTGACATGATAAGGAAATACTGAGGGAACAGGCTGAACAAGAAACTTCACTAAAGACACAGCTTGCAATTTGACATTCTTCAACACACTTCTTTAAGCCTTACTAAACCTGTAGTGTACTATAAAAACCTCATATGAAACCAGCCATATGTGGCACATGTATATTTGAGGAAAATAGTCAAGAATAAATTTGTTAAAATTATAGATTTTTTTATTGCAAAAAAAGTATTCCATTCCATGATATCTTTTTAAATTCCAGGTGTATCAAAACATAATTTGATTAGTAATGTGCATTGCTAAAAAACTTAATTGGAACAAAATAAAGATTATTTATTTATTAGTATATAAATACTGTTTATTAGAATTTCATTATTTATTAAAATTTGTATTTTTTTTTAACCCTCAACCAAATACTTATATCTTGGCCAAATATTGTCCAATCCTAAAAATCATATCACACATACATCAATCGAAAGCTTATTTATTCAGCTTTTAAATGAAGTACATATTTTAGTATATAAAAATGTACCCTTATGACTAATTTTGTAGTCCAAGGTTTCATATAATATACAGTTGAATTCAGAACTACTAGTCCCCCTGAATTATTAGACCCCTGTTTTGCTTTTCCTCCAAACCTCCTTTGTAACGGAGAGAAGTTTTTTCAACACATTTTTAAACAATTCAATTCATTTCTAATAACTGATTTTATCTTTGCCATGATGACAGTAAATAATATTTTACCAGATATTTTCCAAGTCACTTCTATACAGCTTAAAATGAAGTAGGTTAATTAGGTTAACTAGGCAAGTTTGGATAATTAGGCAAGTTATTGTTTAATGATGGTTTGTTCTGTAGACTATAAAAAAATCTAGCTTAAAGGGGCTAATAATTTTGACCTTAAAATGTTTCTTTTTTTAGTATTATTAAAAATTGCTTTTATTCTAGCCGAAATAAAACAAATAGACTTTCTCCAGAAGAAAAAAAAATATCATCAGACATACTGTGACAATTTCCTTACTCTGTTAAACATCATTTGGTAAATATATATAAAAAAATTTAAATTAAAAGGGGGCTAATAATTCTACTTTAACTGTATGTGAAAATGTGCAGAGTATTTGATGGTTTTCTGACCTTGTCCAGCAGGATGGTGGCCTTCTCACCAGGCAGCAATCTGAGCCCTGCTGTGGCTCTGAGCATGAGAGGGGTCGAACTCCATAATACTTCAGGAACTGTGTCTTTTGCAACATTTAACAGCTCCAAAATCCCCTCTTTACTCTGAAAAATGAAAAGGGCTTGACTATGTTAATATAACCATCAAACTGCAGATACAAAAGATGCATTTAACAAAGAGGTACCTTTTCTGGTTCGTCAGCATATGCAGACAGTCCAGGTTTTATAGCTCTGAATGTCTCATGGGCTAATTTAGGAGCTTCTGTTGACACACAAAACCAATAATTGTAAACACTGAAATATCATTGAAAAGTGAACTGACAGATTTAGAAAAATGTCTTCATACACTGCCATTTAAAAATGTATGCTATTTTTATATAAATTAATAATTTATTCAGCAAGGATGCACAAAATGTATTATGTGACAGAAATTTTAATTGTTGCAAAAAAATTCAAATGATTTAAATTAGTTCAAACTTTCTATTCATCAAATAATCTCGAAAAAAGTAAATGGTTCTCACAAAAATATAAAAAAATTATGTTTTCAGCATTGATGGTAATAAGATATGAACATTAAATCAGCACATTAGAATCATTTATGATGGGTCACGTGACACTGAAGGAATAAATATAGAAAATGAATAAGTTATGTCCTTAAATACATTAAAATAGACAACAGATCATATTAATAGTTATAATATTTTTCAATAATAACACAAATTCCCACAGCTTTGTTAAACATAAGAGACTTTTTAAAGGAAAATCCCATGACCCTACATTTCTGAACAGTAAAGTACATAAAACCTATAGGCTAACGTTCATCAAATACACTTATTCAGTGCAGCACATGGCTTATATCAAAGTTTACACAATAAACAATATAAACAAATCTTTCAGCATCTGAAAAATCTAAACATACTCTTTAGTGTGACCTCTGACCCATTAGGCTTATGATGTGTATATGCATGTGTGTGCCTAATAATGCAGGCTACGTGCAGTCCATTATAATATGACAATCATAGGTTTAACAATAAAGGCTAAAGCAGCACTTAACTGATTTAGCTCAGAATTGGGATGCGATAACTAAGCCATTGGACAATCAGAGCTGTGCTAGGCAGTAAACCTAATATCTGTGGATAACTCAACAGGAAACAGTTCTGTTTTTCATTATTATAACAATGGTATTCTGGCAGTAAGGTAACTAAATAAAAAATACACAAGTAAACATTAAAGTACTTCTAGTCCAGTCATACCTACGGCAGTTTATGGCTAGCTGTTTAAGCAACTTTCAAATGCCATGGTTAGTTTATATTATTAAATATATAGTTTATATTTAAATTAATCTAACCAGTCCTTACAAAAATAATCATGTAACCTAATGTAATATGTAACTTGTTAATCATGTAACAAGTTATGATTATTTAATATAAAATATATTAATTTTTACCACCCACCAATAACTTTAATGTGAATAAATATTTTATTTTGGTAAGAAATGTTTACAACATTGTTATATTAAAAGTATATTTATTTTTATATATATTATAATTCAGTTTTAATAAATTTCTATTTCATTATTAGTAATTGTCATTGCAAATGCAAAGGACACATTTCTAAAATATATTTTTAGCATATAATATTTATTCGTATTCTATGCCAGCCTGTCATTCTTTATATATATAAACATTTTATATAGATTTTAAGACAAATTTTACATTTATTAATTCAAAATCTTGTTATCACAAAATAGTCCTGAAATTATGGGCCCTATTTTAATGATCCAGGAGTAGTCTAAAGCTCAGGGCTCAAAAGCATTAAGCATGTCCAAATCCACTTTTGCTATTTTAAGGACGGAAAAATGAATAATATTTTTTATAATATTTTATTCCTTTAATTCTTTTTCATTTCTGAAGATATTTGTGAATTACTGTACATCCTGAATGTGTTAAGCAATGTGTAAGCAAGGCGCACAACTGACATGCTCTGTGCTGGACATTAGACCTGCTTTCAGCTAGTCTTTACACAAAATAGCAACACGCCAACAATGTGCCTTAACACACCTCTTTTCTAAAGAGTTTTTAGCAAATGGATTTGCTATTTAAATAAGGTGGTACAAAAAGGAAAAATTAAGGTTGGTTTGGTCTGAAAACAGCAACACATTGGGGCAAACACGTCTTGCACCTTTTGCGCTGGGTGTATGATAGGGCCCTATGTCTTTTATTGTGCTTTGTTTACACCCTATGAGACACCTTTAACACCTCAATTTCTTTTCAATCATTAATCTTTAGGTGAACTTCAATAGACTATAAATGTAAACATACCATTTGGCTCCATCTGAAATTTGAAGATGTGAATCCTGGTTCCAGTGCTTCCAGCGTCAAACATAATGCCATACTGGAAACTTTCACTGACCACCTGACCTGAGGTTGGATGTTTACGGGTGTCTGTCCTATACTGGGGCAGCTGCTCGGGTACGGACAGTTTGGAGTCATCATAATGGCGTTTGACGTAGGTGAGGTAGACCACCAGACAGCCCACAAACATGAAGATGAAAGCTAGTTTTGGGAACCTCATAGTGGCAGCTGAAGGTACATGATGTGAAGACAATTTCCCAATGTAGCAGGCTCTCTACTACCTTAGAACAGAAAAAAAAACAGAAATAAATGTTTTAATAATTTAGAAATACCATCTACCATCTATAGGTAGCATATAGCTGTTCTTGTACACTCTTAACTATCATAAGGTAGCATATACCTGTTCTTGTACACCCATATAACTATCCTCTGTGACCTTTTTAACAGCAGCCTTAAATGTGCTGCAGAATAAAAATATGGATATACTTAGGTATAGCTGAATAATAAGCATACAGTACATAGAAATGACATACCGTAAGCTTTAAACAGTGGTTTAATATTTGAGTATAATTTTCATAACTGTACGCTGGTCTTTCTAGTAGCTAAAGCAGCAACACCTTAAATAGATTTGATTTAGATTTTAGACCAATAGCTCTTACATCTATTTTAGGTAAATGTATGGAAAGGGTATTATCAAGGCACATCTGGAACAAAGTGGTCAACGATATGGACCCCCTTCAGTTTGCCTACAGGGGAAAGAGGAGCACCGACGATGTTGTTATGACTTTGTGTGATTTTGCTGCTGAACATATGCAACAGACTACAAATTATGTTAGGATTTTATTAATAGACTTTACCTCAGCTTTTAATTTAATTCGGATAGATATTCTCCTTCAAAGATTACTTGATTTATGAGTGAATGAAGATTTGGTGGATTAAAGATTTCCTTTTAAATCGTTCTCAAAGAGTAGTTGTTAACGATATGATGTCTAAAACAATGATTGTAAATACAGGAGTTCAACAAGGAAGCATTTTATCACTCTTACTTTTTTCTCTTTACACAAATGAACTTAGAATCCAGGATTTAGGCTTTAAGTGATTTAAATATGCAGATGATGTGGCACTTGTAGGCCGGTTGACTAAAATAGGAAAAGAAGGAGATTGTACTATAATTATATAAATTTGCTTTAAAACTGGTGTAAAAGGAATTAACTGGAGAATGGAGATCAATTTTAATAAAGCCAAGGAGATAATTAGCAGAAATAAACTAGTCCTTAGTCAAGGGTTGAAACCTCTGGTCCTTGAGGAACATGGAATAGAGACAGTTGGATGTTTTAAATATTTAGGAACACTTATTGATAGTGGATTAACATTTGCTGCAAATGCAGAGTGCATTTTTAAAAAAAGCAATGCAGAGATTATATCTTATTAGGTTACAACATTTTGGTGTGAGTCAAGATGTCCTGGAGATGGTATACAAGAACTTGGTTGAAAGTGTTGTGAGTTTTAACATTGCATGGTATGGACTGTTGCCAATTAAGGAAAAGCAAAAACTGTGTCGAGTAGTAAAAATTGGCAGTGCAATTGTAGGTAAAGAACAAAGACAACCAAATTATTTTTTTTCAGTGAGAATTAAACAGAAAGCACACGTCATTATTGAAGATTGTTCCCATTCATTAAATATACAATTTCAGCTTTTGCCATCAAAAAGACGTTTTAGGCAACCTCAAGTAAAAAGAATGTGTATCACATGTCCTTTGTGACGAATGTCATTAGAATTTTAAATACTGGGTTCTAGTATGTATAGGGTTTTAAATTGAGTTTTTTAATGTCATACATGTGGTGGCATTGAATGTATTTGTGTTGCCTGTTTTTCTGTGATGTGTGTAATGTGAACGCTGATGTAGTTGTGTTATGAAGCCAAAGAAAAATTTCCACTTGTGGACAATAAAGAAAATAAAGTTAAAAGTAAAGTAAATCCATGGTTTATTATAGTAATAATGTATTAACAATATTTTTGTGGGGACTTAATGAAACACAATGATTAAAAGTTGGTCACTGTAACGTTAGCAAAACCATGGGTAACTTGATGCTTAACTTTTTGTTTATAGTAAAACCATGGTTAATAAGGGAAATGTTATGCTAAAAACGATAAAGTTGTCCTTAACGGAAGTACAATAGTTAGAGCCATTTCAGTTATCAACTTGAGTCAATAACTGTTCCACCATTTGTCAATATTTATAGCAAATATGTGACCGATTATTTGTGTACCTCTTGGTGTTGACTTTCGCGACAAGCTAATAGCACAGTTAGAAGACAGAAAACACACAATACTGACAATACAATATCTGTTGGATATGTATACCACAATAACATTAAATAACAATTTCATACAAGCATGTCCAGTTAAGTTAAAGTATCATGTCTCACGAATTCTGCGAGCATATCAATTTCAGTATCGCAAGTCAAAATTATTATAATCTTTAAGATCGCTATAACTTACCTAGTTCTCGGAAGCAAGATCATATTTCTTCGGATGCTAGACTTGTTTTCAATATCGACAAATAGCCATCAGGATTTTGTGACATGATATTCCTTTGGAAGGATTGGAAAACTCTTCCTGTCTCGCATTGATTACGTCAAAAACGTTCAGCGTGGAGATGACGTGGAAAAGACGCACGTCACGAGATTCAAGTAAAGGATACGCGGGCGCGCCCTCGCACACCCTCACTATTATAATCATGAATATTGCTCTTTGCATGAAAACGACTATAAAATTTCTCAGATTTTTTTTGTGACGTCTAATTTGTTTGCTAGACATACATCACAATAAATGACATGTCGGTTTAACGCGTTATGTTCCTTTTATGTTTTATTATCTGCATTTGAGAAATTTTTGTTGAATAAATTACAAGATATAATCAAATAAATCCATAGTCACTTAAAAAATTAGGCTACCATGGTTTTATTACAGTAAACGTAGATTTTTTTTTGTATTTTCATTTGCATAGCTTTACTACCAACAAAAATGAGTATAACAAACCAAATTATGGTTTCTGTACCCTGCTGAAAAATCCAGCTTAAACCAGCCTAGGCTGGTTGGCTGGTTTTAGCTTGTCAACCAGGCTGGTTTTAGAGGGGTTTTGGCCATTTCCAGGCTGGTTTCCAGCCATTTCCACACGAACATGGGAAGAACATGCAAACTCCACACAGAAATGCTAACTGATTCAGCTGAGCCTCGAACCAGAGACCTGGTTCACCTATTTCATTCTTAATGGTCTTCAAAATGTCTTAAAAAGTCTTAAATTTAACTTGGTGAAACTGGCAGAAACCCTGTCCTTAATTTCATTTGAGAAAATACCATCTAAATCAAGTTAAGTGGACTTTAAAGTATTTACCCAGCAGGCACAGAACATCAACATGACTTCCGAGTGACAATGTACCCCAATGTCGTGGGACGTTGCATTTTGTTAGGAAATTAAAATTGGGTTGACATCAGAATCCAAAATTAGGCTGACATCAATGTCTAATGTCGGACAGACATTACATTTCAACACAACTTAAAAACAACAAAATATCAACGTATAATGATTGATGTTGTGTGTACGTTATCACTATCATCAATCGGCTTTGGTTGCCTGACAAATAAATCATTATTTGATGTCGATGCGATGTTGGTTTGACGTTGGATTTTGGTCACTTACCAACACAACTTAAAATCAACCAAATATCAACGTCATTTGATGTCATTATTGGACGTCAAACATTGTCGTTAGGCGTTGGTGACCTAAATCTAACCTAATATTACGTCTTGTGATGTTGTGTATCTGCTGGGTAGGCCCCAAGCCACATTTATGAATTTCATTGATTTAGAAATTAATACACTAAATTAAGATCAACATCAACATTAGTCCAAATACCTGCTGTAATATATTTGTACAGGACAGTTTTATGATTACAACCAAACAATCATATCAAATGTTTTGCATGTTGTTAAGAGCAGCAGATTCTAAAAAGTTGCATTTGCCATTTTCACCATTTAAAGGCATCCCTTTTAACCTCCTGAGACCCAGAGAGCCAATTACACTTTCATTGTGCTGTTTTCAATATGGCACCAGCTGGTCTCTCCACCGAGGCCCAGCGAGTTTTGTTAAAGTTTACCAAGCTGTGGCAGCCACATGACCTGTGGCACATCTCCATTCATTACCTTAATTAACCATCATTAGGCCCACTATATGGGCCAATCTGTGGTTCCCTCCTACACTTTCTCATGCAACATGCAACACCCCCATCTGAGCGCGAATTTTAGCCAGTGAGCGGCCCATAATGAGGGGGTTGGAGATGGTTTTGATGATATTCATTTGACGCTTCCCATTCAGTGTGTCTGTGAGCACAGTGTGAGTTTAAAAGGACCATATGCTCTCATTTTATGTCAGTGTATATGTGTGAGTGCATCTATCTAGGGCACAAGGTCCAGCAGGGGGTGAGGGGCAACGAACCGCCCAATATAAGACCATTCTCACTTATCAAAAATCAATGTGGGCAGACTTTTATGAGGGGGATGGGGACGATGGCCAACCCTCCAAACTGTTGCACTTTGACCGCTCCCCCATGACTTCCCCCATTATATCTTTAGCAGTCATTAGAGACGTACCTCAACAGTTGCAGCAGAAAGTACAATGCCCTCCTCCCCGTCATCCCTCAGCCATGAAGAAATGACCTGATCTCTGTCTTTTTACTCAACAATAATGGGATGAATGGCAGTTTGCATACTGCACAGGGATTGTAAAGAATGGAGAGAGAGGGAAAAGGGACGGGAAGATCAACAAATGCGTTACTGATAAAAAGTGCTTTCACAAAAGCTGAAGAGACACATGCTTTTTTTTGGTTAATTCCTCCCCCAATAACAGTGTTTGTTTAAACAAGTTGTCTACTTTTAAGTATAAAGGTTAAAGTAGCAACCTGTAACATCGATGTAAAACAAAGGCCTTTATAGTGGTGAATGTTCTTAAGATTTTTAAAAGGCACACTATGTAAGATTTTATCATTAAAATATACAGAAAAACCACTAGAACAGTGTTATACTGTATATTTTGTTGACTTGTGTACTTACATTAGGGCTGTGCAGTGGTGCAGTGGTTAGCGCTGTTGGGTAAGCCAAACTGGTCGTAGTGTATGTATGTGAATAAGAGTGTATCCCAGTGATGGGTTGCAGCTGGAAGGGCATTTGCTGTGTAAAACATTTGCTCGATAAGTTGGTGGTTTATTCCGTTGTCGCTACCCCTGATTAATAAAGGGACTAGGCCAAAAAGTACATGAATGAATGTACTTACATTATTCCAAATGTTTCAAAGAATGTTCAGATCCAGAGAAACAAGCAATTTTAAGTGATGCCATGGTAACATTGTCCTGTGTCACCATGCTAATCATGTCATTCAATCAGACATACATAGTATCCATGACATCAGCCATAGTTGCCTACCATCACCATTTTGTTCGTGCGTCATCTGACCAACCAGGGAATACCAAACAAGGGCAAAGGGACGGAGCGTGAGTGGACGCCTGCTAGTATTTTGCTTAAACAGGCTTTTCTTTGGGAGAAACGCTTAATACTTCATTACCTGCGACTCCTTTGTGTTCTGACCACATGTGCTTGGTTGTACAATATATCAATAAAGTGTTTAGACTTTTAAAAACACTGTTGTAACATATTGAGCCACTAAGCATCGTTCTTATTACGTTTTTCCACTGGAGGAAAACATGAATTATTTTCAGATACACAAATACAGTGCTAGTAAATGCAAGGCTTGATGAAATCCAGACATAACACTGTATGACAATGTTTTAGATGACTGTTCTAGAGCCTACAGCTAATCAATCTGTCAGATTCTGGAGTGCATTACAGTTCTAACGAAAATTATAAATGATCTTAAATAAAACAAAAACATTTAAGGAGACGGTATAAGTACTGTATAATTTCTCTCACCTGGGAAATGGAGGCTACGTGAAGGACCAGCGAGACCTAGATGTCAGTCAAGTGGCCACACCTTTAATTATCCAGACTTAATATAATCTAATATAAACGAAACAGATGAGTTTAAAAAAAAATACCCCCCTCGCAGTTGTCATGAAGGGTATTATTAGCTATTTAAATCAAAATCGTTCATTGTACCAGGCTGTAAACACCTTTTTTCTGTTGTAAAGTTAGCCATTTTAAAAGTAGGGTCAATAGAAATCTGCTCTATTATAAAGTCAGGACTAGCGGAATTTCGATGAATTGCAGTGTCAGTTACTTCCATATTTTATTTTGTAGAGCGGGAGGGTGCCCCTTGCATATAACCTCATTTTAACAAAACCTAAAAATGTATTTACAGTAGTTTAATAAAACAGCGGTCCATCTTCCACACTGGATCATGACCAGAAGAACAGCAAGTGGTTGACTGTGGCATAATAAAAGCTCTGCTGCTTTTGTGCTTCATTGCGCTTATCTCTCAATTGCTTTAATGGTCTCATTTCACTTCGATGACTTTCAGCCTTACTCTGCTTCATACTACTATGATAATGAGGCAAATACCCCTTACCCCTTCCCCTTACCCCTTGTTTTGCGCGTTCATGTTTTACTGACATGCTTTAAAGAAAAAAAGCAAAAATAAAAAACGCTCAACTTCATGATTATTGGGATTGGGCCTAAGTGTTGAAAAATTTTGTTCATCCATGAACCTGATGCAGGAATCCCATAGGATGTAATGAAGGTGTGAACTCCCATGATTTCACACTCATCGTGTCATCTTATTCTGAACATTTAGTGGTGAAATCACAATTCTTCTTTCTTTCTTTCTTTCTTTCTTTCTTTCTTTCTTTCTATCTTTCTTTCTTTCTTTCTTTCTTAATCTTGTGATTACAGAAGTGAAATTTATACACTTAAGTTAGGATTGAGACAAAAGCTATATGACAACTTGTAGTAGTGTTACATATCATTATCATGCCTCTCTTTCATAGACAACTGGTGAATTGGTTCTTCTGTAAGATCGTTGTGGTATTTTGGTTTACCAAAATAGTTCTTTTACACTCTTGGAAACTGTCACCTTTTTTAAGACATATTTTATACCTAATAGGTCCACATTTGCTCCGTAAGGTACATATTAAAACCTAGAACAAACAAATGTGCCCTTCATTTTGTACACTAAAGGTACAAAATTATACATTTAGCTATCAATATACCACCCTAGTGACAGGTTTTACCTTTATTTCTGAAGATGTATGGAAGCACTGACAAAAATGATGGAACCTTTGTTTGTTTTACTCAAGCTGTTTTACTTACAGTGACGCAGAGTTTTTTTTTTTAAGAAAGCAAAATGGTTTTTTGTGGCATCACTGCAAAAAAAAAAAAAAAAAATTTATTTATTTATTATTATTACTGTTTGTTCCATTCAGACCAATAACAGAAAAGTTCTTTGGGGAACCAAAACATTATATAGCTTTGCTGTGGGAAAGAAAATAGATGTTTGGAACCTTAAATATACAGTTTGTTTAATTATAACCTGATTTTTAGAAGTAAAAAT